CACCCTCACACATGATCTGTATCATTACAAGTACCAGTTTGATGATAGACCAAGTCTGTCTAATTTAGAAAAGTATCATCAATATCTCGGTTAGATGGATTTTAGTTGAGAGATGAGTAACAAGTAGTCTGTTTACTTGTTTACATAAATCAGTGAACATTATTCATACAATAGTTTGACCTAGTTCTGAATGTCTGATTGTTACTACTAGTAGTGGTGGTAGTAGTAGTATTATCATGCAACCTTCCAGCCATTTTTACCTTAAGTGATCCAGAGGACATTATGTGGTAATCCAAAATTACACCAAAACCAAAGATATAAAAATAACGCGAATATTGATCCACAACTTGAACACAGAGACAAGTACAAACATAACAACAAACAACATGGCAACAAACATGATAAGTGATTTGTATTCACAAACAGGTCTTAGTGATTACCTAATCGTGTTGATCGTTCTAAATTACTCTGACCTTTACAAGTTAAGATGTATATGATGGCTGTGGTGGTGAACAAATGGGAAGATGGGAGATTGTGTGTGTGTGTGTGGGGGGGGATAACGCAATTAGTTATACGCTCCCTATTCTAAAAGACGTACATTAGTGTAAGCTAAGTAACGAGGGTGAAGATGAAAAAATGTTGTATAATGTTTCATTCATTTTTGTTTATTTCGAAGTTAATGGGGATTTTAAATTTCAGGTGGTATTCATCATGGACTGACATCAATCAGAGAAACATTAAAAACCTGAGAGCATTGGATGACTGTTTCGTCCTAGTAATGGAACTTCTCATCAGTAGTACGTACCCACCATCTAGCTAGGGACCAAGCTCTAGACCTTCAGGTTTCACGGTGAATGCATTAACCATTTTATTTCTCACTTGATTAACATTGAAGGTTAACAACAAAACCATTTTACACAAGAAAATTAGTTTTTATTAACAAGACGTATGATTTGTATACTACTAGCAGATAGATATGACCAGAAGACGATTATTCATGTTCAAGTGAAGGTTGAAGGCCTGTTTTGCGGTCGACATCAGGCAGATAAACTCTGAAGTTTAAGGTTTTCGATTTCACCTACATGTATCACTGCTGGTAATCCAACATGTAGCCATGTTAGCTTTATGTAGCGTGACTGACAGAAAGGAATCACTATCCTGTTCAAATAGTGTGCAACAATGAATCATTTGCAGGGTAATTTTAATTAGTTTCTTCATTTTTTTATGATGGGTGGTGGTTCAAGATGGAATGAAAATTTGAACTGCAGTTGGACTCGAACCAGTAACCACAGGGTTTCCAGCCCGATGCTCCACCAATCGAGCTACGATGCGCGACTGCTGACCAGATTTTTATTCCATTCCAATTACTAAGGATTTTTCCCGACTATTACGTGAATTCGTCAGGCGTTACTACCGCTTAATCGTATTTACACTGGCTGCCTAGTCAGTCAGGACTTCTCATCCCAATCGAAATTGAACTGAATTGGAGAGGGGGAACACCATATTGATTATCATTTTGACTAGTATCTGAGATCGCCGTGGTTTGGCAGACTAGTGTTGATACTGGGCGATGATTGAAGGTGAAATGAAAATTTGGACTGCGACCGGATTCGAACCAGTGACCACTGGACCTCGTAGCTCAGTTGGTAAAGCATCGAGCAGGAAAACCCGATTGTTGCTAGTTTGAATCCAGCCGCGGTCCAAATTTTCATTTCACCTTTAATCATCACCCAGTATAAGTGGAATTTATCACTATCATCTCAGATTTTAAATCTTGTGAAGGCCTACATTTATTAATGTAATCTTACAGTGCGTGTTAGTTGGAGGCCATCTCCAGAAGACTCTACCTCATCTAGGTTTCGTGTTTATGAGCAACCTTAAAGAAACTGGTTTCTCCTCAGGGATTCCTGCCGGTGTCACTTAGTGCTGCAGTCGGAGAAATCACCACTGGCTCGAGTTTTATGCAACTACTGACCTTTCCAAACTCATAAAATCGTAAAATAATAACATCAAAGTTGGTGCATAATCCTGAAAAGTGGTTATTCACTGACTGTATACTACTCTATCGTACAAGGAGTGGCTATCGTGACTCAATGACTCAATGGACAACGCTTTGGGGTTTGAATGGATTCATCATGGGTTCGAGTCTTAGTGGGAAGAACATCACTCACTGGGATGCAGGTACATCCAGCTAACGAGTCCCAAATAGACAGCTGATTTCCAACTAGTGAGCCTCGGGTTCGAATTTATCACAACCTAGAGAGGTTCAGGTAATATGTTAGACCCTATATTAATAGGAGTGCTTCACTGTCCATTTCATGAAACTGTGCTTATTTGCTACACTAAACTAGAATAAGAACTTTATTATCTCTATCAATCAGTCTCCGTTGTTTCATCTAAACACAAATAAGAAACTTACAGTTCCTCACAGAAACCAAACTAATAGTCTTAGACTGGTATCAAGCAGAGATTTGATCACTTTGAGGCTGGTTAAATTTCACTCCTGTCGCAAACATGTGTAACATATACCCTAACCAACGAAGTTCAACGATTTTGTGGTCTCATTTACCTAATACTGTACGCCTAACCTAGAGACTACCAATATGGTCACATACTGAGGTGCAATGATAAGTCTACAGCCCGGGTCAGAGTATTCCTGATCACCATGAACCCGGCGCCAGGTAAGTTTGAGTACATCCAGCACATACCATATCTCCGAGTCAATCTCAAATACCTTGTATTGAACACGTGGATTAGACGAACTATGATCAGTTTCAATTGACTCAATTGCGTTTAACTCAGAATACTTTCTGTAAAATGGAAGAAACCTCACGTCAAGTCATAGCTGATTGGTTTAGGCAGCTAGGTTCCAACACCATCCCCTCTCTATTGAGGTCTGAATAGCCAGTAAGTATCATAATAGCCTTTACACATAATAGGTGTGACTTGTTGCCTGCTGCACGAATGTGTTGAAGTTTTAGCTGAGTGGTTATTGATATATTCTTCGAAACCTTGTTGCAGAATAAAATTTGTAATCGAATATTTTTAAATGATCAGTAATAGAGTTGCTCATTAACATAACTTCGATAATTTGCACTAAACATATTCAGTATTAACTCTAGCTATTGAAGAGAATAAACTTCAAATGGGAGGGGGATTTGTCGGGATTTATTGATTTCAAAGTGGTTTTTCATCATACAATAATATCGGTTAGAAGGTTTGGGAAACTGTTTCCTTATAGTCTTGACCATCACTCCAACAGCAGTGTACATTCACATAATTTTGTTAGTGATGAAACTCAGAATGATCAGATTTCACAACAATGAGTATGTTATCATCATCCAGTCACTGAGCTGAGATTTAATGGTCCGAATTTTTCTACTTCTGCCAATTTATGATACTACTTCACGATTATCATCAACTTCATGCTCAATATCTCAAAATGTTTGAAGGTAATCATCGAAACAGGCTTTGCCAACAACATCATGAGGTAATACATTGAAGATGAATAGTGGCTAGCAGTGGAATCCAGGACGCGTGTTTCGTCTTACTCAGGACTCATCAGCCAGATGTAGCTGCCTCCAAGCGAAACTAATGTACAGTACTACCTAACGGTTAGTCGACTGATAGCCAAGTTGTGATAAGGACTACTTATTTAGAGTATAGTTAGGTTTGTAGACCAGGACGCAGAATAAGAGGTCACAAAAAACAACCGGCTGCAACACAATACACAAATAGCGACGGGAAACTACAGCAACTGATACCCGTTGCACAGGAGGTGGCTACCATGCCTCAATGGCCTAGTAGATAACACCTCGGCGTTTCAATGGATAGTTACTGGGTTCGAGTATCGGGAGGAACAACATGAATCACTGAAGTGTAGGCACATCCATCTGACGAGTCCCAAATAGGACAAAACACGCGTCCTGGATCCCTCTGCTAGTCTCTAAGGTCAATATAACACAGAAAATTAAGTGGATAATTAAGAACGAACGATGAAGATCGACAGAGGAGGGCATCTACGCCGATAGGACCTTCAGCACAGGTGTTTATTGTTAATATCTGGAGGAACTCAGGCAGGAAACCACGACTTCTCTAGAGGGTACAGACTTTATAGATCAGTGTTGTTCAGTATTCCGGTAATTGTTAGATCGTTTTTACAGTTTGTTAGTTGGTTGGAGGCAATCGACAGGAAGCACTGGACCTAGGTGTAGTGCTTGTTAGGACCGGTCGGCAAGGCGTATCTGCGACTTCGACAGAAATGATGTCCCACCCGAGACTCGAACCTACGTCACCCAGTGTTTAGTCCACAACTTTACCACTGAGCTATTCGGACCGTGATTGACCTCATTTCCGTCGAGGTTGCAGATACGTCATGCTGATGAGTATCGGTAAGCAAAAAACCTAGGTCCAAGGCTTTCTGCCTATTGCCTCCAACCAACTAACATCTACCAGCGTGCATCGTGATGCTGAGCCTCCAAACTTAGTGGCCATATTGCAAATATGATCGACAGGATTCGGTCTGTACTCAGGACTAAACAACATGAAATTGGTTGCCCTCCCGTGACCAATCAATACGTTTTACAGTCTGCTGTAAACAGAATATTATTATATTGATTTTAGAGCCCCACAAATATGAGAATAGACTGAAGGGAATACACATCTGATCATATGTTGCAAATTACTTGAATTTGGAAAACTTTTCCTGCAAACAAGTCTGCAGCACAAACCGATGTATTACTACAATGTAAATGAACAATGATGAAAAACTAGGAAAAACACAAAGTTCGATCAATCTGTTGATCGGCTTATGTTGAACATGAGTATGATACTCGTGTCTGACAGGTTAGATCATTTGATTATCGTTACTGAATGGATCTGTAAGCAACAGAAATATTATTTCGAACTCTTTCTATGATGTGAAATATATCACAAGAAAAGGGTTAGAAGAAGATATATTTGTAGAAGACAAAAATAAATGTAACAGATATATAACTTACCAGAATTGTTATTCTCTGTTTTCACGTGTAAACAAAGACTGAGATCTAGTGGAGATTCGAAATACTCATTTGAATTATGGCATATATCTGATTTCACCATGGGTACTGATGAACACCGACTGCCCAATGGTAATACTGATGTTGAAGTTGGCAATTTGTTAGGCAGACTTGAATTAATCTCATTTGATCCACAATTACTAGTGGTAACCTGATGTTGAAGAGGAGGATGAGGAAGAGATGGAGGTGGAGGGGTAGATGGTGGTATTAGAGCAGCTTGTCTGAGTAACATAGCAGCTGTTGCATTCAATGATGTTAAGTTATTAAATGGTACACTTGTAGATGTTGTACATACACTGGTACAAGTGTTACCAGGGATCGGTGATAAAGGAATGCCACCATTTGAGGCAACAGCTGCAGCAGCTGCCGCAGCTGCTGCTGCAGCAATTAACGGTGTCGTGGATGGATGGTTCACTGATGAGGTAGTTGGTGATAAACATCCGACACCTAGGCTAGAAAATATACGTTTCAATGTTAACAAATCTGTATTATCTAATGAATTTAACTGAGGGAAAAGGAGATTACTAGGTATTGAATGAGTGTTAGGCACAATTGATGGTGTTGTGCATGTAGTCATCAGATTGATACTCATTTGATCTGAATTCATTTGAATCCCATTCATATTCGATTGTTGTAATGAAGTTGGCAAAGATGATAATGATGAAGGTGTTGTTGTCATTGACAATGAGGATGAGGATAATGATGATGGTATCATTAGGTTTGTCGCTGTCATTGGTGTCACTGTCATTGTAGATGTTGGCAGTTGTCCTGTCGTTAAAGAAGACATTGGTGATAATGTATCACCTTTTACAATTATCTCATTCTGTGAATCGTCTATAGATAATGAATCATTTCGTGATTTTGTTGTCGATAGCATACAACAATCAACTTCAGAATATTTCATCTCAGTATCACTATTATTATTATTATTGTTATTATTAGCATTAGTATTATGATCATCATATCCTCCATTAGGTGAAGATGATGATAAATTATCCATAAATTTTCTATCTTCATCATCTAATGGTACACCGAAACGTAATTTCAACTCTAATAGATTATGATGAAGTTTTTGATTTTGTGCATTCAATTGATTAATACGACATTCCATGAGTATATCATTTTGTCGACGTTTTTCACGAGAACGTTTAGCTGCTTCATTATTCTTACGTCGACGTTCCCAATATTTATCATCTTTTTTAGAATCTGGTATAAATTCACGTTGTTTACGATCACGTTCATTAACACTATTCATAGTAGAAGTATCAAGATTTAATGATGTTGTTATCCCTGATGTTACTGGTGTCGTCATTATTGATGAAGCTGTCAACTTATGATGATGATGATGATGATTTGATGAATATGTTGAATCAATCATATTCGAATTGCCAGATTGATTTATTTGTTGTACTGGAGTGTATGGAGATTGCACAGACCCTGTATCTGAGGATACATCAGAGCATGTCTGTTGAGAGGGTAAAATAAATGAGAAATTATTAATGATATTATCATTATTATTACTATTATTGTTATTATTATAGTCAATATTGGTAGTATCGTAAAGTGAATTAATATTCAATGGTTCATTATTTGATGTTTTATTCCTATTGTCATTATTTTTACCAATAGTAGTAGTAGTAGTAGTGGTAGTGGTAGTAATGGTGTTAATTGGACTGAATGGATCCATTTGACCATTTGAAGTTTTACAGTCAGAGTTTTGATAATTACATGAAGTAAGCCATAATGGTAGGATAGACGACTGAGATTGTTGATGTTGTTGTTCTTCATCTTTTTCCTGATGATGGAGATTGAAAAAAGTTGTCATATCTGATACAGCTGTAGATGTATCCACTATTGTTGTTGTTGTTGTTGTAGGATTATTTAAAGATGTTGACAATATTGGTGATGGTAAAAATGGTAAGCCTAAGATACCAGCTAACGCTGAGGCCAGTGCAAGTCCACCGTTTGGAGTGGACATGAGATCAATAATAAATTGATGATAATTTGTTTTATTCAATTCAATTATTCTTGTTGATAATGATGAAACTGTTATCAAGATATAATGCAGTCATCCATTAAGAAATAACACATATACATCACAGTGTGCTGTATGTAGTCAAATAGAAAGTGAACTCGAAACATCAAAACTACAAAGAAATATGGTATATGACTGAATGTAAAATAACTGGATCCTTTCTTCACTTACTAGCCAATTATGTGCCCATATGTGGAAATATGAATGGATAGGGGACTGTGTATTGCTTATCTCTTATCTCGTATGTATGTACGTTGCACGTTCATAATAGGTATTATTATTATTATCACTATTATTATTATTATTATTATTATTATTATTATTATCGTCGTTGGGCCCTCTACACCCTATTTATAAACTATTAGTTATTGTTGCTGTTGTGACATCTCATTGCATGACGCTATGGATTATTCTCTACCTCTCTCATACTGTATTAGTCAGAGAGAATATGCCTATGTGCACATATACATACATACACATTTGGGGCAGTATAACTTCACTCAATTATAGGGGGGGTACACAGTATGACCTACATCATGTGTTTTTTATTCAATAAAAAAAAAATAATATAAGAGGGGAAGGCAGAATACAATTTTCATTGGTTAGTTTTCTGCATTCAGGTTATGACGATGATGATAATGATGATGATGATGATGATGTGACTTATGACTAACCCTTTTAAAAAAGAATATCAGAGTAACAGAACAAGACAGAGAGAGCGAGCGAGAAAGGTAGACATAAGAGAATTGGAGTGCACTATACCTAGTCTCACAACTTCTACCACCATTATTAACTACTTACTATTACTAATAACATTGACAACTGTGAAAGATTATGTATATATTTATGCATATGTGTAGACATAGATTTCTATGCGTGTGAACATGCAGCAGTCATAGGCTTAAAAATTGTAGTGTCTTCTCCCTCTTTTCTAGTGTTAGACCGCTTGGAATAAAAAGTAATAAATGCATGTTTAGACAATAAAACTGGTTTTTCGTTTAGTATTCCAGTTTTTACTATCCATTCAGTAGATCACATGATCAAGTACTCTCTACGAGTGACCATATATATGAGGAGTTCAACTGTAGTTATTATTTATCCATACTAAAAAAAAAGAAAATAAGTAATGGTGACAGCTGGTTGAAAAGATGCAAGAGAGTAGTCAATGCAATTAAGCAAAAGAGGCAGAGCATAGAGTAGAGTAGAGTGGAATGAAACAAACAAACCAAGAAAAAACCAGGCAAATACATAGACAGAAGGTATACAGAGCGAAAACAAAACTATTTCGGCCAAATAAAGCTGTTTTATTATAATATTTGTAATGCTAATTATATACGTTAATATAATCATAGTAGTATTCATATAATAATAAGTAACAGGAAGAGAGAATTCCTTTTTTGGTGGGGCGAAACGTTGGTAGTTAGGTCAGTCAGTCAGTCAGTCAGTCAATCACATTAACTCATCTTGTTGTGTTTACATAGTCGCTAGTCATCAAGACATTGTATATTCCAGTAGATATAAAGAGATTGGAGAGAAAACAAAATGTATATCTAATCTTTAGCTGGAATGATTTTGATGTCGGGTTAATGTGTGAAATAGTAATGTTAATGAATAAAACACGTATACACATGTACACAAAGAACAATGCAATCTCATGAGTAAGACTGCAATAATTATTAGTTGAGTATATTTTCCAGAGTAATGTAGTAGCTAGCAGTAGAATCCAGTTTGATGCACGTTTCATCCTATTTGGGACTCGTCAGCTGGATGAGTGGTATTGTTACCATCGGGACCGATCACTTGAAACGCCAGAGGGTTATCCACTAGACCACTGAGTCACGATGGCCACTTCTTGTGCGATGGGTGTAGTTTTAGTATTGTTGTTTGTATTATCTATCTCATCGTTGATTGAAACAAATTAATCTGTCTCTATTGGCATATGGACTCCTGAAGGGTGCTTCGACATTGTTTATGTTTTAATTATACATCCAGCTGACGAGTCCCAAATAGGACAAAACGCGCATCAGGCTGAATTCCACTGGTAGCCACTATGCATTATTAATGTATAATTAAAACACAGGCAGTATCGAGGTATTCGTGCAGGAGCCCATATGCTAATAGAGACCGATCAATTTGGTCTAATCAACGATGGGTTAATACAAGCAACAACACTAATAAGGGTAGTGATGACAATTCTAGCTGGACCGATCACAATAAAATGAATTATGCAGCCTCTGGTATAACACTAGAGGGTGTATTGGAATATACTGACGACTTTCTTGACTGTAATAGGAGTTGTATAAACCTCGATGTGATGATGTCGGACAATAGGTCAACAGCATTATCTAAATCTCGATTATTATATCACGCTCGTAATATGAATGCCTATCAATAATGGAGTGTATTTCTTGCCAGAGTGATGAGACATAGTGGAAGGAGATAGACTAAACAACCTTGTCTTTGTCTTTATACGTAATGAACTCATTGACTGAATATTAGATGAGTTATCAGCAAAGAAAATAGCGACGAGTAGAGATCGTTAGTTCGAGGATAGGCGTACACTAAAGCGCGCTAAGTATTCAAGAAATCGCTGTCTGGTTGCTTCACATGTGCCGCAGCCCGTTGTGTCTTGTTATACGACTGTGAGACATGGTTATCAAAAGTAGATGTGAAGAGATGACATGTTGTTGATCACAGATGTCTTCCTAACATTCCTCACATTTGATGGAATCACCAAATGACCAATATTGAACATATACTGCTCATGCTGAGCCACCGTCGACAAAGTACCTGACTGCTGGTTCGAGTTGTGTGGGAAGATGTAGACTGTCTGGTTGAGGTCCACGAGACAACACAAATCGGTGGTTCAGGAATCTTGGTGAAATGGCTGGGAATTAGTCACAATGATGCAAACGTATTCACAGCTTGACACCTTCTAAAGCTTGAATATTTGAACTAATCTTCATCTCATACAATTCTGTTTACTCTGATATCACTCCTTTTTCATCCACCACCTGTTTCTTGTGTACTATTTTGAAGTATGGCAACTTGATCCTTCCAATGCATCTGTGTGCGAGGTTCTGTATTGATTTTGTTTATGTCTGTCTATTGGCTTCACGATTTCCCAGGAGTGTGTATGTTTAATGGGTGCGCAATGTAAGACTTTGGACATAAGCACATGTAGACTCTGAATGAAATATCATAGTAGCATAGATTTACTGACACTTCATATTCCTATGAATCATACATTGATTACTGAACTAACTAGTCAACTATACTTTGAGAATATTTAAAGTTAAAAAAAACTCCTAGTCTTTCACAACCGAGACCACAGCGTTGAAGTCTCTATTGAAAGAATGATAAGGTGTTAATTATTCAATGAGTATGACGAGTTGAAATCCCCAGAGCTCATGGCTTTTCAACTTTACACCTCTCTGACACTATGTGAGATTGGGCTTGGAAGCCTTAGATATTGAAATGAACAGTGAGAATGTAATGAGCCATGTTTTTCGAATTTTGCCAATTCTAGATAGCATTTTGACTATCTTAGATAGCCGTTAGTTTGGAAGATGAATATTTATACTTGATGATGATTGGAGGTGAAATGAAAATTTAGACCGCGGCCGGACTACAGCTATCTCTTAGATAGTCAAAATGATAATCAATATGATGCTCCCTTCTTTGATTCAGTTAGATTTCAATTGGGATGAGAAATCTTGACTAGGCAGCCAATGTGAATATGACCAAGAGGTATTGACGCATCTCAAATTCACATGATAGTCGGGCAAAACCGTTGATGATTGAAGTGAAATAAAAATATGTTTAGCAACTTAACTTCGTAGCTCAGTTGGTAGAGCATCGGGCTGAAAATTCGGTGGTCGATGGTTCCAATCCGGCCACAGTCCAAGTTTTCATTTCACCTTCATTCATCATCCTGTATAAATTCCATATATAGCATAACCTCATCATTTAATGTCATTTATCATGAACATCCCAAGTTGAAACGTTCTGTACTTACTTACAAACAAACATGTTTTTCTCCCTAGAGATAATATGATGAAAAGTTATAATTCAATTTTTGAAGGAGTTGTGGAGATTTGGAAATATTTCAAGTTGTTATTCATCGTACACTGACATCAGTTGGAGGAGCAAAGGAAACCTGGGAGTACTGGACAGCTGTTTCGTCAGACTAGTATGGGACTCCTCAGCAGTGCGCACCCACGAAATCCAAATCTCCACAACTCCCTCAAAATTCAATTGAACTGGCGCTCATTGGTGACTAGCTTCGAGAAGTATTCCCAAAGTTCCAATCAGAAGTCATGACCGGTAGAGTCAAAGCCTGATGGTCATGAGGACAGTTACTCAATGATGACATTGGGTGGCGGTTGCGCTATATCCTGAGCTAACAGAAGTTGGAAATATGGACCACTGGATTCTGACACACTGGATGAAGGGTAACGTGATGGCCGCGGGACCTGAAGGTCGCGGGTTGGATCCCTGGTGGGGTGTGGTCGTGGGTGCACACTTCTGAGGAGTCCCATACTAGCCTGATGAAACAGCTGTTCAGTACTCCCAGGTTTCTTTTGTTCCTCCAACTGATGTCAGTCTACGACGAATCATAACTTGAAAAGTTTTAAGCTTGGGCTTAGAAGTTTACAGAAATTATCGGTCATATTCAGTGGGATTATAGTAGAAGCATTATGCATACGTGAGTATCTGAAATCTAAACATATTCAGTCTACAATGCCTTGATAACAATGTTTCTAACTTTACTGATCTCGAAGGGAAAATAGTTTATTCGACAGTTAAAAATATGCTTTGTTGAAGTATAGGGGTTTGGTAGATGAACTTCTAACATGGTAAATCGAATCACAATGAACAATACTGTCGCATTGCTCAGTTTAATAGTCAGATCATACACTTGATTAATAGACTTTAGCTAACATTTCATAATAAGATTTAACAGTTACACCAGTAACCACCATCTAGTGATCTGTTCATGTATCGGTTCAAGTTGACACACTTCAGAATAGTACACAAGAAACAGGTGGTGGATGAAAAAGGAGTGATATCAGAGTAAACAGAATTGTATGAGATGAAGATTAGTTCAAATATTCAA